GCGGGGTTGGATGGCCCCCGCGGCGGGGGTCCGGGGGCCGCAGCCTCACACCGGCTTTGCCCCCGGGGATCCCCGCTCGACAACGCTGGTTGTAAGGGCTTGGATTGTTGGAGACCATGACTAATCGGATTGGTTCCTTTCTCGTCAGCATCAGGAGTCTTGAATGGATTTATAACTTTTCGATTTTGCGAAGCGACGGGGACGTCGCTTAATATGGTCCAGTAAGTTGTCGGTGTGATTACCCTTACAAGGGTATCCGCCCTGGTTTTTGCAAGTGACAGAAAATAAGTTAGGTTTAAAGTCTAAGTATACCGCGCAAGGCGCGACAAAGTCTGTAGTTTAGGTTGACCGGACGGTTGACTAAAATAGAGAGTGTGTGGGCTCGCAGATCTGAGGCACGCGTGATCTTTTTAATTGTTGATGATTGAATTGTCGGCGTAATCACCGACTAGAGTTTCATTTTCTAATTAAGTTATGATTAAAAGGATTCCGTCTCTTGATTGATGCTCTTACCTGTGACTTGTGCGTACTTACGGAGGACGACATCGACGACAGTGTGATATTAAAACGTTCTGGTAAGTTTGCTCGTCTCACAATATTCGTTTATATAGGTGTCCATAAAAAAGCTAGACCCAGCATTGGGCCTAACACTAGCAGTTTCAACGTCAGACTTTAGTCAAAGAGGTTCAGGGATCAAGATCGGGCGGTGTCGACGAGGGAATAATAGGATAGTTCGAGGGTTTGGAGGGGCTATCCCTCTTGGCATTGTCGTCAGCGGCAAGTTTTTTCTTTTCTGGTTTGGCATACTCTAGCGATTAAAAGTTTTGGATACTTTGTTGTATTATTATTTCACCCCGGTACTCCCTGACAAGGGTGCGCCACTGGATTTGGAGGTCGTCACGACGGTCAAGGGCTTTGAGCGAGAGCCTCTATTTCTTCGTAAGCCCACTGGTTCCTCACGTGGTCAGGATGTTGGTGAAGGGCCCTGGTCCCACTGCTTTGAGACGCGGGTCGAGGAGGTTGACGTGCATGTGAGCCGGTAATGGTCGGGTCGCTTCAAGGGCACCGTCGGCTAGCCACGAACTGACGAGAGGGTTTAATTATGGGAATGCCGACGGGATTCGTAAGATGGATCGCGCCCAGTCAAAAGGGGCATTAAAACGGTCTGGGGCACTATCGGAGGACTGCAGCGGTGTCACGGCCAGCTACGGATCGTGAGGAACCTCGCCTCCAAAGTTCTCATTTGAATGTTGGTTACTGGGCCCAAGTGGCTAGGCTCGCAATAGGTCCTCGCCCCCAGTTTTGTTCATTGCTATGAGAATGCGTGGGGGCAGTCATTGGAGTCCCATAGTGGTGGCAAACCTGGCTCAGGCGGACCGCTGCAGAAAAGTGGGGAGGGCCGACGGTATAGCTCTAAGTAGCGGGCGGAGCAATAGTGCACGAGGGCATCGAGCGTTGAGGAGGTGAAGGGAACCAGAGGAGACAGGGAGGAGAAAGCAGGAAAGCGGAGCGCTAGCGAGTGGGGGAGATATGTAGAAAAGAGGACAGGCGAAAGCGGAAGTCGAGCACAGGCAGCTAAAGCTAGGGGTACCTGGGCGCCGTCTTGCGCCAGCTGCATTCACAGGTATCGATGCACTCAAGGTAAGAAGGAACAGTGATGGCGGGGTGGTGAGCCGAGGTGCAATAGGGAAGAAAGTATAACATAGCCAATCGAGAATGAAATCAGGCAAGGAGAGGGGCGCTCCTACCGTTTTAGGAGTGGGCGAGTCCGATTGTGAAGTCGGATTAGTTAGTAAATTAGTGGAATAGGTCGTAGGAGAGGAGATAGCCGCGTGGAGCTATGAAGGGAGTGAAAACAAACGGAGAGGAAAGTGCATAGTTTACCCGATTCTTAAAAGAATCGGGCGATTGAAGATGTGAGACCAAGGTTTTGATGATGGGCGACCCCGTTTTTTTACTCAGAATTGGGCGAAAGTCAGTAAAAATTTGAGTTATGTGAGAATGATTCTGAATGAAGCTGCGCGGAGGTCGAGGAGGAAAGAAAATGAGGAAACGGGAGCAAAACTCTATTTACCTGGTCATTCCCTCGACAAATGGTTACAAATAAAGGTGCAAACTGGGGGTTTTTGACAATTCTGATCTAATTGGCCGCGTCATAATTACAATCTGAGCAGCGGTTTGCTCGGTGGAGGTTGTAGACGTCGTGCAGCCATCATGGTACGTGTAGATATGGCGATGCATCTCCCCATGTCTAAGGAAAGATTCATACTTATTTTGTGCGTTTGATGAATAGCGGAGTGAGACCGATACCCCTGCCTTCGTGTACTCACGTAACAATTATCAGACTAAGAGCGGTGGTGGCTCTGTTGGCGATCCACCACCTCGCGCTCGTTACGATTTCGACAAAGTCTGTGACAGTGGTAGAAATTCTAATCGTCGCGCTCAGCTCCTAGTCTGTGCTCGTTGTCGTTGAAGACAGTGCTAAACTTCGCCCTGCTCGTCATCCCATTCCCTCGTGTGGCTTCGTGATCCTCTCCTCGTCGCGATCCCTTGTTCGCTTCGACCGAGCCGCACCAAGGACCAGGTACATTCGCAAGAGAAAGAGAGAGGTAGAGAAAAGCTTACCAGGACGAGCATGCCATTGATCAGGGAGCGTGAAGATCTCACGATCCTGATCCCAAAGTGAGGGGCGAATGCAGCAGGCCGTGTTGGTTGTGAAGTGAGCCCGCACCTTGCCTGATCGGAGCAATCAGTTAGGTAGTATAAAGTCGAAGGAGATGTGAATGGCGGGAAGTTATGTTGAGATAACAGTAATTCTATCCGGATTCAAGTGGACGGTTCATTCTCAAGGAGACACGTTTGGCGAGAGAAGAAGGGAAAGTGTTATTTTGAGCATAGCCTTCCTAAGTGGCATACTGGTAGGATGGGTGTATGCTATGTACAGCTTGGGTGGAAGGCCGCTAACTGTAAGTGCCTACGCTGCTCTATTCACCGTTTGGTGCAACGAGGTAGGGAGCTGCAATGTTGTACGCTTGCCTACTAGCTGACACACTGCAGCTCTGCCGAATA